TGTTTTCTTACTCTTTATCGCTCATTTTTCACTCTTCGAGCTTCGAACGGCCAAGTTTTTAACCTTCTGACCGGTCGGCTCATCGATTCTCAAACACCGTATTCCTTCCCCGAGGATTTTCTCTTCCCGTTTTACTCGTTATTTGCTTCGAAATCCCCATTTTAAAATACAGAATTTAATCATTTCTCCGCGGCAGTGAAATTCAGTCGGTAAGCTGTTGCAATCTCTTTGAGAGATTGCGCGTGGTGGGGCTTTGTCTACTTAACTGAACCAATTAGCTGTTTTTAGCGAGTATGCTCGGCATAACACAAAATGTTGGCATTACATCACGACAAGTATACTCGTCAAAAACAGCTAGCTGGTTAAGCGTGTTGCGAGGCAAATCGTATCAAACGAGTTTGTAAAATGCAGGTATAGCGTATCAACGAGAAGTGGTTGTTGCATTATTATTTTATGGTTGCGGCGAGAATCGTTTTAGCCCCGATGCTCGAAGAACATTTCGCTGCTTTAGGTTTTCATAAAATAACACGTAAAAATGGTAAGTTGCGTGAAAATTGTGTAAAAAGTTTTCGTTGTTTGAAAATACGTCTCTCTCTCTCTCTCTCTCTCTCCGTCTTTATCCCAGCAGTATTATCCTCGCATAAGCAATCGTCGAATAGACAATAGCCCGGCAGGCATCCTTGGTGCGACAAGGGTTAATTTATGCGTTATATCGATTCGGGGGGAATATTGCGGAGTCGTTTGAACAAAGAAGAGTTGAAAGGCACGCCCGCATCGGAGCATAAACTGCACGATATTGTGGAACGCCATCGAGTAACGCGGAATCGCAGCCGTTCGATCGGTTCAAACGAAATTCCAGCTTGACAGGGGGGCGGTGGGTGGCCGTCAAAGGGGGTCGGCTACACGAACTTTCAATTAAAAATTCCCTGGATGGAGCCGGGGCGAGTAGGCTCGACCTCGCGAGGAGGAGGAATATGTTTGTTCGTCAATTTCGAGGCCGCTCGGGCTTCGACGACGACGAAAACAGATTCTCCCTGGAGAGAGGGGCACCGAGATAGGCGGGGAACGGCGAAATCCGTAAAGAGGACGCCGGAGAGAGCCATGATATCATTACTCTCGACTCGAGATTCCGGCGGAAGAGCATGTAGGTTCTCCCGCGCACTCGGGAATGCGATGTCGAGACATGGAACTTGTCTTATGAAATGTCGCTGCTTCCTGTAACGCGCGCATCCTTCCTCGTGACCCCCTTTCGAACTCCTTCCGACCCCCTTGCAACCCCTTATCAACCCCCTCGCGATCGTCGTACAGTGGGATTCCGCTGGCCAAAATTATTTATCTTGCTTATCGTGTTTAAAATGTACCTGCTGACTTATTTATAGCATTTGAACTTAGAGAAAATAACTGTAAAAAATATTAACTCTTTGCGGTTGAAGCAATTTTAACTGAAATCCAAAATAGTTATTCCGACCTATAGTGTTTCCATTTCATATAACCCTGTGCATATCGTGCTCATGAATTTGAATTTTGCGATTCATGCGACAATTGTACTTTCACCAGTTTTTTAAAAACAGATTTGATAATATTAAAATTATTTTTAATATTTATATTATTAATATTATAATTTTTAGTGATGTCTCGGAGTCACCACACGTCTGCAAGGGGTTAATAAAATATTCAAAATATTATTTCTATTATTTAATGGATTCGGAACGTACCTATTTATTTATCTAAGAGACTTTAACATAGTGGGAATAATTATGAACATTAATGGAAGCTATGCAGTCTATTAAGAATGATTGAAAACCATAACAAAGCATTAAAAACATTTTGAATGAATTTTTCGAATAAAATTGTATTCGACTGAAACAACAATTTTTTGTAATGTATAAAAATTAAAAAATTGATGGATCACCTGCTCGAGCATGATGCAACGTCAACACCGACGTCGACGAATTTAGAAGCGACGAGTGTGCGAGGAGGGTACGTCTCGGTCGAATGGCCGAGAAAATAAGCGGAATAACTTGGGTTAATCTTGACCCGGTTCGGAACGGTTTCGCTTCGAATCGAAAGAAGCCACCACCCCCGAAAAGGGGAAGCGGCACGCGAGCCCCGAGGAAATAGTGTAGGTACACTGATTGCAGCGATCTTATAGTCGGCGAGCATGCGAGCATGCTAGCTTTGCAGGGCCAGAAAATATTCGATCAGAATCGCGGACGAGGTTGTTGAGGGAATTATTCGCACGCACGGCAAACAACGATACTCAAACATCACGGTTTTCCGAATTTTCTTTAACCCCTTGTCAAACAGAATTTTCTACATATGAACGTTATTGATAGCCTGTTGATTTTAGGCATTTATTTATTCATTTATTTATTTTGCGGACCGAGCCCTTGTAGTACGTTCAAATTTGTTCCTCTTGCACAGGAATTTCATCGCATTCTGTACCGGTCAACAAAATTGCATTAATAGGACCATCAATAGTGTAAATCATCATTAATCAACATATTATTGTTATTTATTGATAAACGGGTTGGAAGCCTTTTATTTACGTAACAGTTTATACATAGGAGCAGGATATTGTACGCATTATGCGCTTACATTGACGATAAAATTGGGGATTATATTACGGTGGTATTATTATGCATTATATTGTGCATTCAATTTATATAATAACGGAAATGTAGATTATTTATTATTCTAAATCAATACACCTAAAATTCTTACGCTTAGTCAGAAAGTGCTGAAGGCGCCAACAAAAATGTAACCTGTTGCAATACCGATTTACATTAGTGACGATCCTATTAATAAAATTTTGTTGACCTGCACGATAACACAAATCGGTGAAATTATTCAGAAAATAAACGAACTACTAATTCGAATAATTCGCGATACCGCAGTAGTTTTGACGACCAGCGATCTGTTTGTTCAACGTATTATTCTCAGGGACGTATAGGTATAGATCGAATGGTTGGCGTTCGAGAGAGGGTGCGCCGGTGTTAAGATTTACGCGGCGTTTCCCGATCCGCGAAGATAGCCGGGCGCTGCGCGCCGAGGATGGTCGAGACCACCCCCGCGAGCCAAACAATACGATGTTTATTCTCCCGAGGAACCACTTTCGGAAATTTACGAGGGTCGGGGATCCGGCGAACACGACCGATGAATGGAATCGAACAGAGAGAAATGGAGAGAAACGGGGAAACTCTCGCGCGGCCACGACTTTCCGCTTGCAATCCGTTGGATCTTGACTTCTCGTGCTCACCCACAGCTCCGCATCTCTCTAGATCTCCACGGGTCTGCACAGTTCTACACAGTTCTGCACAGTTCTGCACAGTTCTACACAGCTCTACAGAGCCCCGCAGCCTCAGCCAACCCCTATCGACCCCGCAGTTCGAGAACTATTTATGGAAATCGACGCGTCGTTTAACCCTCCCCTCGCCACCTGCGAAAAAGGGGAGACGAGGGCGAGAGAGAGAGAGAGAGAGAGAGAGAGAGAGAGAGAGGAAGAGAGAGGGAGAGAGAGAGAGAGGGAGGGAGGGAGAGAGAGAGAGGGGGGGAGAGAGAGAGAGAAAGAGAGAGGGAGAGGGAGAGAGAGAGAGAGAGAGAGAGAGAGAGGGGGTGAGCTCGCTTCGGGGACGGATGTTTCAGAGCTCGCGGTTTCCTGCGAGCACTGATCTGCGGGGGTTAGCGGAGTAGGGAGGGAGCCGCGGGGGTGATTTCGGTTCCCGGAGTCGGTATGATCGGGCTGTTCGCGAATTTATCGGGTTCCGATACTTTGGTCTGTTTTCGGTGAATGATTTTTGCGCCGGGAATTCCCTTGGAACTCTTTTCTGCGCTACGGGAGGCGGTGAAAGCTGTTTCAAAAGGAACTGGAATGATAGCGAGATTATTTCTTCGACACGAACCACCCCTAAACACTCTATCCACCCTCCCTATTTCCTTCTCTCTCTCTCTCTCTCTCTCTCTCTCTCTCTCTCTCTCACTTTTCAGTGTTCTCTCTTTCATTATCACGAAAGAAGCTGTTAGGGGAACTGATGAGTAATGCCATTTTTTTAAGCGCACCCTTTGCGCTGTCATTTTGATACGGGAACATAAAGATTCTGATTAATACAAATGTTTTGCAGTAACTTCAAATATTTTTTATTTATTTATTTAAGTGACGAAGGAGAATGTTTCCATTACAAGTACAATTATAAATGTAATGCAAAAAATGTTGAGAAAGTAAAATAAACGAGAGCGTATAATACAAAGTAATGAAAAAGATATTGCAGGAAAGTAGGAGAAAAGAAGCTAAAATGATGATTTCGAATGTATTTAAAAAAAAAGGGAATTATATATTATATATAATTATGTTTCTTTTAAATCCGGTCACCACAATATCTCCTCCGATAGCGATGTCACAAAAAATATTCTACATATAATTTGATTGGCAACGAGAGATGCAAAAGCTAGTTTTCACTTCAGACTCATTTTTTTCGACCGATATTACTTATTGATACCTGTAATATTTATTTATTTAGTCGACGAGCTGGATCCCTTTGACAAATATGCACAAAAGCGACAATTTTGGGACAGAGTTGCATAATTAATATGCGCCACGAAATAGAAGTAGTAACTATGTGTCAGCCGTTTAAAGCAAAATTGGTGTGTCAATTTTTCGCTAGTCTAATTTAATATTATTAAATCGTATTTAATTTGATATTTCATTTGATTTCGTTTTATTAATTTAAGTTAAAGCTTGAAACTGAATTACGTAGAAGCGTTGCAACAGTTTTTTATGCTATTGAATTGTACAGAACTTTTAATTCATCCATCATTGTTCACAAATTAACTTCTTCGTTTGAACGAAACTATTCCTGTTTTCAGCGGCTCATATATGTATTAGCGTTAGTTATCCACTGATGGCACGGTCAATGACCTCTTGAACGTGTTAATAGCAGCAATAATAATTTCCTGCGAGATTTATCGTTGCCGCGGTCTAACGACGTCTTTATTCGTCACAGGTGCTCCTGCCGGACGGATGAACCTATTTCGAAGATCCAAGCACCCACGAGAATGTGAACGGCGATGCTCGGCTCGCCGACTCGACGAAGGACCGCTGTTTCATAACCGGAGCCTTGTTCCGGCGCGCGAACGGTGAGTATCGTTAACAATAAACAATTCACGACCGTTAAATTCAGATTGCGATCCTCGCCGCGGGTCTCGCTGCCGTAAAACAAGTCGTTAAAACGTCTTCGCAGCCGCGAACTGCATCGCGGCGATCCTCTCTGCCGCTCCGTAGATCCTTTCTTAGTCTCGTTTCGGATCCGATCGTAAGAATAATGGCCTCTTTATTACGGGGACAAAGTTGCATTAACGAACCCCCGTCGCATTTGATTCCGGCAAAGTGTGCAAGATTGTTTGCAGAATTCGTGGGGCTGTCTTCGCCGGTTTCGCAAGTTACGCGAAGATTTCGAATCGGAAAGGACCGCCGCGGGTCTGCTTAAAACGCGGTTAATTACAGGACAATGGGATTACCGAGCTGTAAAACCGAGCTGTCTCTGTATCGCCTTCGGAAAACAACCGAAACGCGTTTAACAAGCCGTTAAAAGTTTTTATCAACCGTGCCAATTGGTAATCATCCACAACAGCGCGTTTGTATCTAATTTCGATAATTGAGCGGTTCGGCGCGAGTTTGGACGTAAGCGAGAAAAAGATTGATTCACAAATGAACGAGAGACCGAAAGCTTTGCGACGCGCAACAATATTCAAAGATGTTGCGCGTCTTTATGCAAATCGCAGTAAAATTATTCCCGAAGATACAATGGGCCGTCTTATAACGGACGACCTTACAACGAACGGATGCTGCAGAGATGCTGCAGCGAACGGTTTTTCTCATTAAATCAAAGAGTGCTGTAACGAATGAATATGCCACAACGAACGCGGGAAAATACAATCGGCCGTTGTGCCGATTGTTCCATTCCGCATTCGTTACCATAGTAAAGAAACAACTTACGATCGGGCTTCTGTCGATAACAGTCGCAAATAGCAGTTAAGAAATAAACTGAAACGTAATGAATTAAATTTATACTGTGTATATTTACGTACACGTTCTTATATCTGTTTATTTCATATCAAACTTATCACACACAGTTTTGTGTGAAAAATAAATTAAATTTGTACTATGTATATTTATGTACACGTTTCCATACTTTTTTATTTTATATTAAATTGATCCTATTTTCGTGTGAAATCGTTGTACAGTAATGTCTCTCTAATTGATGCTCAGATTGTCCACAGAAATGGACAATTTGGGAAGAGGAGATACGATTATTCGAGCCTTGCGGTTTGTTTTTGTAGTTACGAATTGTCAACAATTATAAAAACGAGCCGCAACGCTCGAATAATCGTATCTCCTTTTCCTAAATTGTCCATTTTTGTGCACAATCTGAGCGTCAGTTAGGGAGACATTACTGTACTCTGTAATAACTGTCCTGTACATTTGCTAATAATATTAAAATAAAAATAACATTAAAATAAAAAAATATAAGAACGTGCAAATAAACATACGTATTAATATCGATAAATGTATGCTATAATGGAATGCTATACGAATGGATGCTATAACAAACGAGGTTCTAGAACGGATTACAGTAATGTCTCCCTAATTGACGCTCAGATTGTCTACAAAAATGGTCAATTTTGGAAGAGAAGATACAATTATTCGATCCTTGCAGTTCATTTTTATAGTTACTGCTTGGCTCGAATAATCGTATAATACTAATCGATGTATAGTAATAATCGATGTAATCGTATCTTTCCTTCCCAAATTATCCATTTTTGTGCAGAATCTGAGCGTCAGTTAGGGAGATATTACTGTACATTCGTTACAGGATACCCCACTGTAACAATTCTGTTTTCTTCCAAAATCGCATAATTCGATGTTCTTTCGCGTCGTTCCAATTTTCCATTGAAATTTGCTCTGCACAATTCTCTCTAACTTCGCTGCTCTGACGAGAATGTACACTGCTGCGCTAAACGGCTGAATTGTAAAATAAATAATCGGCAGTCCCAGTGTTATCTCGAATCGAAGCATTAAAGAATGGCGGGGTATGTTCGGTACGCGAAGGGAACCGATTCGAGTATCTCGAGGACGTTTTATTCGGCGCCGTTAATTCCTCGCAGCGGGGAACAACCGGATTACGCGGAGTGCGCCCGTTGAAATCACCGAATCGGACGATCGACGCGTTACACCGTCCGCCATTCATCCGGACGGTTTTGTTCCTGTTCCGTGTCCCCGTGTCCCCGTTCGCCTTCTCGTTACGGAGGCTCGGGGCCGGTTGAAACCAACGAAAAGAGGATTAGTTTGGCTCGCGAGCTGCCTCGTTGCCCGCGGAATAGCGACGTTTGTCCGAGCGTTTTACCGACAGGCCTCGAGACAATTGATTAGTCGCGGACACACGAGCCCATCGATCCGAAACCGATCTTTCAGGATTCCACCCCTCCCCCTCCTCCGGCCGTTCCCCGCGATTTATTCCGATCGATTTCCCCACTCGTTGTCCCTCGGCCCGTTCCGCCTCTGCAACTTTATCGGATCATCCCGCCTGTAATCGATATATCGCTTTCACGATTGTTTTTCGGAGCACCCAGCACCAACGTATCCTCCCGCGTTTGCAAGCTGTTTCGCTCTTTTTTTTCCCCCTCCCTCCCCTGCATTCGAGAACTGCAATCGAGATACTTTCCAGCGAGTTTAATGCGATTCGCCCTGCTATTCAACTCGCGATTCTCTTTATAAATTGCTACTGGAACACGTCGTTTTCACGTTCGCGGATGCTGGATTTCATTCGCGGCGCAACAAGAACTGCATGTTTATGCAGATATTCGCGTTTCGACGAGTCGCGGCTGCCGCAAAGGGCTGCATCGATCCGATACAATTTTTAGTTTTATTTTCGATATCCCGACGCCGCAAACCCCTTTGTGTTACCGAGGAAAATAGAAAGTAACAGCCGGATCGCGGATCTCTTCATGCAAAATATAAACTGTCTTTGTCCGTTGCAGAAAATAGGAGTGACTTGAAAGTTGCGTTCTTTTCTTAATAGTTTTGGTCGGTCGTAAGGAATTTACTGACATTATTAAGTGATTTTAATCTTTCTATTTAACTTATCTTCGTCGAAAATTTCAGAAAAAATATAGTGGCAAATGATAACAAATAAAACCCGCTACGATCGAAAAGACAGGATAAAGGAATTCAATGCTTAAAGTTACAAAATCATTGCTATATTTCATTTATATTATTAAATCATTGCTTTAGGAATTAACCGTTTGCTATCTTAACCCCTTTAGTGCCGACCAGAAAGGTTCCAAACCTGTTTGATGAGTTTGACAAAAGTTCAGAATAAAATTATAAAAGTATTATAAAACCTGACGATTAGAAAATTCCAAAAGGAATATAAATTCAGTAATACGACTGTTATTAAAAATATTAACAAACCAACATTTTCTCAAGATATATCGTTGTTCGGCACTAAAAGGGTTAACTAAAATCAAGACATTGGTTTCCCTCCACAATAGTTTCACTTCGTATGATTGTTATTATTTCACGCATGCGAGATTGATCCCATTTGCTCGTAGCAGATTTCTATTTTTCAATGTTATTGTTAAACATATTGTTGCAAATTCTGTGTAAAAATAGTCCAGCATTTTTTGGCGGTCGTTAGTGTGCAAAAGGGTAAATGGAACACCGACGAAAAGACAACAATCCAATTAATTCTGTACAACGGTTGAAACGCGGATAAAGCGAGAGCAACTTTCGGGAGGATTCGATGTGCTGGTAAACGGGAACTCGCGAAGGGATGAGACTCTAACTCGTTTCCTAAACAGCCGATCGTCTCTGGGAGGATCTCGAGGCCCGTTTTACAAGCGGCGCGACGCTATTCGAGGAACCGGAGTGCTCGAGAGTCGTCTTGGAGCGCGTTCAACCGATCAAAAGTCGCCCTGAAAGCGCGATTATTCCGCGTTAAGCCTCTCGAGGGGGTGGCGGCGCGATAAGCAATTCAGATTCGGTTCTTGCCGCGGCCGCTCGAGTTTCCATGGTGTTCTACTTTTTTCCTTCCGTTTCTTTTCGCCGTTCGGCCGTAAAAGGAACGGCGAAAAAGGAGAGAGCGAAAGATAAAAGAGCAGCCCGGCGATTAACGCGCGAACCGTGGATCCTCTCGACGCTCTCCGCGCACCCCGGGGGGTAAACTTTTTTAATTTCGAACATCCCCGGAAATTATCCGGTAACTTCGAGCCGGGCTTTTACCGCGACCGGCGCCCGTTGTCCGCTCGCGATTTATCCGAGCCGGATACCGGACCGCGGTATTCAAATTAACTGCGAACTTCGTGCCCGTCCCACCCTTTTCTCCCTTGCAATGCGAGCGTCGTGCCGCGTTCCCGTCGGCGCGCTCGATTTTTATTTCTTCCCTATTTTTTTGAATTCGCTCCTCTGTTCTCGCGAGCCGCGCCGCGCCTTCACGCTCGTGCGTAACGATTCACGACCCGCCTCGCAGAAAAAATCTGCCGGTTTTATTCCCTCCGGCGCGAGGGCTCGAAAGTATTTCGCTAAATGGCCCGGTATTTTTAGGACCGACGCGAAAATTGGTAATCGATACCTCCGTTCACCTTGGCTCCCGTCGCTTTTCCCTGCCTCCGCTTTTCAACCCTCAAGTGGCAGCTTTCAAAGCGGACTCCGAGGATTTAATAACTCGATTTTGACGATTTCAGGCGAGTCGTCGTCTGACAGCCTCGCCTAAAATATCTTCGTCCGTGTTAACACGGACGCTTTGCGCGGCGCTGAAAGCAACGATTTTATGTTGCTTCGAGTGGAACGAGTTCATTGAACAAATTCCCCATGAATTCCCCATGTGTCTTTACGATTTCAATGATCGTTAATCATTCAATAATCTTTCTGAATCCCTTTCGTACTCTCTACGATGGTTCCAGTTGTCAAGTTTCGACTGTCTAGAACGTCTTACTTCGACAAACTTACTTTCGGGGTCCGTTCAGGGACGTCATCGCTGACGAAACGAATTTCTGCAGCACGAATCAACAAGTCAACCACAAAACCGCAATCTTACTTCACGATTTTCTATCGCCAGGGAATTTCGCCAAAACCGAAG